TGTATTATGAATAGCGACCCTCTTCTAATATTATGAATACCGACCCTCTTCTTTCATTATGAATAGCGGTCCTTATGAATAATGACCCTTATGAATAATGACCCTTTTCTCCAATTATGAAAAGCGGACCTTATGAATAGCGGTCCTTATGAATAGCGGACCTTATGAATAGCAAACCTTATGAATAGCGGTCCTTATGAATAGCGACATTGACCCTGCAGTACAGTGGTCTGAAATCAGATTATTAATTACTGGCTCTATAGCTCTTAAAGAGAAGGTTGAGTTCTGGGAAGAGGTGAAAAATAATTTGTGAGCGTTATCATTCCTATTATGCAAGTGTGGAAGAACATCAGATAAGACATGTTCCCTTAAAAAGCATGGCTCTTCAAATGCCTTCATATTCTAAATATGTCATGTAACATCGTAAAACTCGGGGGAATAGCCTTTTTACGCCACGTGGTTGTGTAGTCCCATATACATCTTTCTGTGTACTGTGTTTGTAACTTTACCAAGACTTGGCCAAATTTCTTATCATTTTGATGATTCCAGAACCTTGCAATACACACAAATTCTTATATGCTAGATGATCAACCTTTTCTGGTCGATTCCACACCGTTTCTTTCACAATGCAATCGCAAAACCAGAACTCAACTTCATCTTTTAGTTGATTAAACTACTAATAGTCGTTATTTTCCCACTTAAAGACATTTTCAAGCCCCCTTTTTTTTTGGAAAGTTCTAAATTAATATTGTCTTTCAAATGCTGTTGGAATTTAACCTTTTCATTTTTGGGGCCTGCAAATGGACATAGTACCTTTAAAGTTCCAGATATGTGTAAAACGTATTCCATTAGCAAATAATGAAATACTCAACTTTGCCTCTGAAGAAATAAAAATTCTTCATAGTTACGTGACATATTCTTTTTGTCAATACTCCTCTTTGAAAATCCATCGGCAAAGTGATTTTGAGAATTTTAATGGATATCTGCATTTAAAGTGAATTTTGATGTGGAATTGGGAAATCTTAATGAATTTTGATATTTGGAATCTCAAAGTTTGTGAATTTCAAAGTTTAAATTCATCCAATGTACAGAAAGCCAGTGCTGTAAAGTCTTACTGCCACACAAGCCTTAATTTTCATGACTTGGACAGAGGTATATATAATACATGTAATGTTTTTCTGCCACACAAGCCTTAATTTTCATGACTTGGACAGAGGTATATAATACATGTAATGTCTTTCTGCCACACAAGCCCTCATTTTCTTGACTTGGACAGGGGTAGACAATAATGTCTTACTGCCACACAAGCCTTAATTTTCATGACTTGGACAGAGGTATATAATACATGTAATGTTTTTCTGCCACACAAGCCCTTATTTTCTTGACTTGGACAGGGGTAGACAATAATGTCTTACTGCCACACAAGCCTTAATTTTCATGACTTGGACAGAGGTATATAATACATGTAATGTCTTTCTGCCACACAAGCCTTAATTTTCTTGACTTGGACAGGGGTATATAATACATGTAATGTTTTTCTGCCACACAAGCCTTAATTTTCTTGACTTGGACAGGGGTAGACAATAATGTCTTACTGCCACACAAGCCTTAATTTTCTTGACTTGGACAGGGGTATATAATACATCTAATGTCTTTCTGCCACACAAGCCTTAATTTTCATAACTTGGACAGAGGTATATAATACATGTAATGTTTTTTTTATGCCACAGAACTGGTTTTCTGTACTGGCTTTCTGTACATTGGATGAATTTAAACTTTGAAATTCACAAACTTTGAGATTCCAAATATCAAAATTCATTAAGATTTCCCAATTCCACATCAAAATTCACTTTAAATGCAGACATGTAATTTTTTTTTTTCCCACAGAAGCCTTAATTTTCTTGACTTGGACAGAGGTATATAATACATGTAATGTCTTTCTGCCACACAAGCCTTAATTTTCATTACTTGGACAGAGGTATATAATACATGTAATGTCTTTCTGCCATACAAGCCCTCGTTTTCTTGACTTGGACAGGGGTAGACAATAATGTCTTACTGCCACACAAGCCTTAATATCCATGACTTGGACAGAGGTATATAATACATGTAATGTCTTTCTGCCACACAAACCCTAATTTTCTTGACTTGGACAGGGGTAGACAATAATGTCTTATTGCCACACAAGCCTTAATTTTCATGACTTGGACAGAGGTATATAATACATGTAATGTTTTTCTGCCACACAAGCCTTAATTTTCTTGACTTGGACAGGGGTATATAATACATGTAATGTCTTACTGCCACACAAGCCTTAATATCCATGACTTGGACAGGGGTATATAATACATGTAATGTCTTTCTGCCACACAAGCCTTAATTTTCTTGACTTGGACAGGGGTATATAATACATGTAATGTCTTACTGCCACACAAGTCTTAATTTTCATGACTTGGACAGAGGTATATAATACATGTAATGTTTTTCTGCCACACAAGCCTTACTTTTCTTGACTTGGACAGGGGTAGACAATAATGTCTTACTGCCACACAAGCCTTAATTTTCATGACTTGGACAGAGGTATATAATACATGTAATGTTTTTCTGCCACACAAGCCTTAATTTTCTTGACTTGGACAGGGGTAGACAATAATGTCTTACTGCCACACAAGCCTTAATTTTCTTGACTTGGACAGGGGTATATAATACATGTAATGTCTTTCTGCCACACAAGCCTTAATTTTCATGACTTGGACAGAGGTATATAATACATGTAATGTTTTTTATGCCACACAAGCCTTAATTTTCTTGACTTGGACAGGGGTAAATAATCTTTCTGCCATGACAAGCTCCTTGGCTTTTCATTGGTTCCTCCACAGCATTGGAATATTATTGCATTACCTGTATTATATGTGTGTGATGTTTCTATTCAATGAGGAAAAAAGATAAATCAATTTTTTGGTCATTCAAAAGTCACAAATAAATAGTTGTATACTTTTTGGACATCAAGTTTTTTAGGCACACAAGCCTTAATTTTCTTGTCTTGGACAGGGTAGCTGATCGTCTTTTCTGCCACACAAGCCTCAATTTTCACGACTTAGGCGGGTAAATGATGTGTTTTTGCGGGACACAAGCCTTAATTTTCCTGACTTGGATAGAGGTAGACAATAATGTCTTTTGGGCATACAAGCCTTAATTTTAATTTTAAAAACCAGTCTCAACACATATTGTATTAAAAAACACACAAGATGCATTTTCATTTAATTTTAGACAAACACACAAGAAGTTGGGAATTAAGACACACAAGTAGTCTTTAGAAGGAAAAAATGAAAAGACACACAAGATACCCCTTTTTTTCAGACACACAAGACAAAAATCTCACAAGCATACTGTCGTGAGTAGTACCGTCCGTCCGTCCGTACGTCCGTCCGTACGTCCGTCCCGTTTGACCGTTATCACAATATCTCAAGAACCATTTAAGATTTAAACTTAAGACTCGGGAATAGTATTTATCACCATAGGAAGACAATCTGATTAGATTTTGGAGTACGTAGGTCAAAGGTCACAGGTCACAGAGGTCAACTTATGAAATTCCTTGTATTGAGTTTGTTAGCGCGATATCTCAAGAACCATTTGAGATTTAAACTTCAAACTTAAGGATAGTATGTATCACCATAGGAAGACGATCTGATTAGATTTTGGAGCACGTATGTCAAAGGTCAAGGGTCACAGAGGTCAACTTATGAAATTCCATACATTGAGATTGTTATCATGATATCTCAAGAACCACTGGAGATTTAAACTTCAAACTTGGTGATAGTGTGTATCACTATAGGAAAACAATCTGATTACATTTTGGAGCACGTAGGTCAAAGGTCAAGGGTCATAGAGGTCAACTTATGAAATTCCATACATTGAGATTGTTATCATATCTCAAGAACCACTGGAGATTTAAACTTCAAACTTAATGATAGTGTGTATCACCATAAGAAGACAATCTGATTAGATTTTGGAGCACGTAGGTCAAAGGTCAAAGGCCACAGCGCACATTATGAATGCAAAAACAGCTTGTGATCGCGTTATCTCAAGAACCGATTGATGGATTCATGCCAAAATTAGGTCATGTTTGTTACTTGCAGAGCCAATGAACTGAGTAGATTCTTGGTTCATAAGGTCAAAGGTCAAAGGTCATGGGCCCATTATGTATGCAAAAATAGCTTGTGAACGCATTCTCATTAGAACTGACAGATGGATTACTATTTAACTCAGAACATCTTGCAGAGCCAATGAACTGAGTAGATTTTATGGTCATGAGGTCAAAGATCAAAGGGTCATATATGTATATGAGAAATTGCTTGTAATCACAATATTCTGAGAACCTGTCAATGGATTACCATTGAACGTGAATTCAATTTTTTTTTTCTGTTTTGGTTTGTAAAATTGCTCTATAACGGAGGCATCATTTTCGACTGCGCGCAGTCGAATTCCATCTAGTTTTAATTAATGTGCACTGTTAAGACACATACCGGTACCTTTTACTGGCCAATTACATAATTGCCATCATAATATTACTTTTTGTTAACATGCTCTTTTGCTATTTGCCCAGTGCTTCATTCTTCTTTGTGTATTTGTTTATTCCTCTGAAAATCACCTACTGTTAACAAATTCAGAGAGATTTCTTTCTCTGTTATCTGGGATTGATAATTTACTGCCTGTGCATCAAGATTGTGGAATGTTCTTCCCCAAATCCTTCGCTCTTGTCACCAGTTATCCACTTTCAGAACTCAACTAAAGACATACCTATTTCAGATTGCTTACAATTAGTCACTGCTTTTTTGTCTTTCCAAGTTAGAATCATGAACAGACATTTTTGGTAGTCTTTCAGTCTCATCAGCGCCTTTGATTAGGCAACTGGATATTGGTGCTTTATAAATACCTGGATTGGATTGGATTGGATTTTATCTGTGACTATATCAAGTCTTTTGTTTAAATGAATGCAGGCTGGAGCCACGCCCAACCACCCCCTCAAGTTCCAGACAGAGTTCACCCGTCTGAGAGCCGACTGGCTTCACGCCTGTCTCGTCCTCATGACCAACCTAGCCAGCATCAGGACCTGTCCTCCGCCTGCCATAGCACCGGCTGTTGCCATGACAACAGGGCAGGATCTACTGCGCTGTGGTCACATGGCCACTCAGGTATGTGTTTGTAACCTTATGTTTTGAAAAGAATTATAGTATTATGATTATGCTAAATCTTGAATAAAGTAAAATATACTTCCTACCTTCCTTTCTCGCTGTAGAAACGTCCCTTGGATAGCACGTTAAATGGAGGTCCCGTGTACAAGACAATCACAGACAGTCTTGCACGTTATGAACCCACTGCACTATTTGTATAAGAGTAGGGGGAAACCCAGGTGTAGTGGTCCACCTGCACACTCCAATCAGGCCGAGTATATACAGCATCTGCAAGAATCTTCAGTATTGAAGGAGGCAGATTATCTTGAATACGAAGAAGAAATGTTTTTTTTGTAAATTGTTTGCAGATGCAGAAATCATCTCAGAGACTGCAATCTCTAGCTGATAGCTATGCTGATCTCTACCTGTCGTCCTTTGATGCTGACCTGGTCACGCTCGGTAGCATCAAGATGTATCCTTTGTGATGTAGGAAGTGCTTTGACCTTCTCATGGACATTAGGTGATATAGTAGAGAGTCTGTTCCAGATGCTGAATTGTGAATTGGCATATTCTACAATACCTGAAAAACCATACTGCAAAGTAAAGCAAAACTGGCAAATTTACATTGAAAGAAAACATTGTGTGGGATATACACATTTTATTATAATTTTTTTTAGTGGAGATAAAGAGATTTATGCACAATTATGTATGATGGGGGGGGGGGTCTTTATGCAGTTTTACCTGGAAACTTGTACATTCATTGTATGAGTTTGTATGTTTGCAGAATCAGTTATAAGTTTCCTTAACGATGAGTTTTTCTAGTCTTCAGAGGCATTGCCTTCTTTTGGTGTATCTGATTGATGCTCTGATACTCAACAGCTCATCCTACAGGTTGGTACCTACCAGTGTCAATACCCTTTCAAATTTGAACTTTGAACTGTATTGTCTGAAAGATTATAGGACAACTGCCCCTTAGACTATATTGGATGCTGTATAAATCAAGAATATTGATAATACAGGGGCACCAATAGATACAAAAGAATGATAAAGAGAGTTCAATAAATTTTCATACTTGAAATTTATATTAAGAAAAGAAAATTTAATCAGTGATAATAGTAAAAATTGACTGATACCATCTAACAACAATAATAATGTTAATACACTCCATAATTTCCCTGTCTTATTTTTTATTTACTAGTGGCAAGCACATGATCCAGCAGGACCTGTTAGGGTCAAGCAATGCAGATGACCATGGCAATGACCTGATGGCCGAGAGCAGCCGAGTGACCAATCAGATCCTTGCTGACCTCCAGACGGTGCTGGAAGAGACGGAAGGAAACCCAGTATCACACCAGGTGAACACAAAAGGCTTCGTTTCGTCAGCAATTTATTATTTTTCTGATGCTCCACATGAAGTAAAGTAATATAATTAAAAGTAATAGCAATGATGTAATGGCTCTCTTGATGTTTAAAAAGCAGAGTTATGAAGTATTTTGTGTGATTGCAAGTTGTCCTTGAGGTCAATATCATGTGATTTGTTTAAAGCCCATCTGTACTAGTTTACAGGAGGGATTAGATCACCCTGCAATGTCACTGGACAGGTGGTTATCTCATCAAATCAGCTCTCAATTAACATAAGAAAAAGTGGATCATGGGGTCACTAATTAGGTATTGTTTGCTATATAGAGGGCGCAAGTAGCTATAAGTAGTACAGTGGCGCTTTAAAGGAATATTTTGTCCAATGACATACAGTTATTGTGATACTGAAACAAGGTCTGTTCTGCAGGGATTCATCTCTTGAAGAATTTTAATTTTTTTTTAATTGTCTGTTTTATTTCAACTCTTATTTTACTGGCATTGCTGTAAACACAGCTACAGTATACATGTAGTTGAGTCTTGTGATCTGTTTGAGTGGGTAGCTCAACTAGAGCACGCACAACTGTTATGTTTCATGACTAATAATATCTTTTCCCTGCTCTGTTTCCCTCGTGTCCACACAGCACACCGAGTGTATTCAACGAGCCTGTCTTGCTCTGCTCAAGATGTCCTTTGGGTTTCCTAGATACTTCTACCAGGCCCTTCAGTCCACCAGTATCAAGGTTTGTGGGTCGAACTATTTACATGCCACACAAATAATCTCCCTGTGCCACATAGTATTTATCTCGGGATATATGTGCCAACGGCCTCCAGATTGTTCAAGTGTTTCCAATGTTTGCTTAATAAACACCAGTGTTAAAATGGTTATCTGAAACTGATCAAGATCAGTAATTTTGCAAAGCCATTGTTGTGTTGTAAAAAGCAATCCTCCCATCATTAGTGCATATTGTTTTGTGCAATTTTCATGTGTGGCAAACATGTAAACATGCAGAGAGGCAAAGAAGGCAACCAAAGTGCTAATATAAGGTTTAAGGAATCAATCAAGTTTTAGCCGTATCGTATTTCGTCATTGTATGTTTGATTATACCAAGTGGGTGCACAAAACCCTCAAAATGGCAAATATGAAACAAAAAAGAAGACACACATAAATTTGGTGTGATATTACAAGGTTTTTCTATAAAAAAAATTCCTCATTTTTGAAATCATCCTGTGGACTTTAAAAAAAAAACCCATTACAAGTAGAGGAAAAAACACTTTCGATACACTTATTTGATGCCTTACAAATCTTTAAAATTTAATTTGCTAAGCTCAGAATTGATTTTAAATTATTCATTCGTCCTCTTACAGCTCAACCTATCACCATCACCCAGAGCATCAGGTGAGCCTGTATCCATAGCAACTAACACTCATCTTGCTCTCAAGGTAGAAGGTGTCATCCAACATGGCTCCCAGCCAGGTACGAAATATCACAATTTCTAGTAACTCATTGAAACTCGTTGAGTTATCACTTCTGCCATGGTTGAATTGATGAAGGTAGCATGCAGATACAAATTTATGAACTATTTTGTGTCATGAAAAAAAAAGCAAAAGCACATATTGAAACTCTATCACAGAAAAAAAGAGAATCCAATTCACAATCTCATTAATATGCCTCTTCATTGGATGAAAGCAAGAGAGACACAACTTCAAAATCTTTATAAAACTGATATATTGCGAAAGGAAGGAAGTGCATAATTTTTGTATTTCTTCTGATAATTGAGAGCTTAGAAGATAAACTGTTGTAAGCAGGCCAAATCAAGTGTATTATTATATCTTGCATCATATGTGAAGTGATTGTGGGCAAGGATTCAAGAGGTGTAATGCTTTATAAATCTGTTTTTTTTTTAGATGTATTTGGTACAGCACAGACTTGTCGCTCTTCTGATTCATGTTCTTTTTTCTTTCTTTCCTTTAATTCACAACAGGATTGTTTCGAAAAGTGGATCAAATCGTCATCAATGTCAACACCACGTCCTCATCCAACAACAAAACTGAGGAAAAACAACAGGAGGTGAGAAGCTTCGAAAGTTGTAGAAATATCTGTAAAACAAAGAAGGTTACTAACCAGAAATAGACTGGCCTTGGTGCAGGCACACTCACGCATCGAGCACCTCTCAACTATGTTAACAAAAATACTGTATTGGTGTATTTTGTTCGCCATTGATGACTTTATTAGAATGTGCAATTGAATACCATATAGCATGTGACGTTTTTATCGTTGTCCTTTCATCAGTTTGACCTTTAGCCTTTGAGATGTTAACATTGTTGATTAAAATTCTACAAATTGACAATTTTCCTTTGCAGACTGGACCAAAGGAAATTGAATGCCGCATCACGCCTCACAACGACTACTTCAGCCGACAAGTCCTCCTGTCGTTCCCATCGGCTGGCCTTCATTCCATCAACGTCGAGACCAGCATAGCCGATGAAGACGGACAGCTCTGGAGGACTGGGCCCAAGACGAGTCTAGCGGTCAAGGCCTACGTTGATGGGATGATACAGCCTCCTCAGCAGCAGCAGCAGCCAGCCCAGCAGGCAGGCCACAGCCGTAATATAATTGCCGGACGGTCCACCCGCCTCCCGAGTACCTCGGCGGGTGGTAGCAAGATGAAAGAGTTTAGTGAAGATCTTCTATAACCATAGCCTGGACTTATGGCTAACGATTTTGAAGTGAAAGGAAAGAAAATGTAGTGCTTTTGAAGCAGGTCCTATTGGCATGATGGCAGGACATTCCACCTGTCACCCAAGTACCATAATGGATGACTAAGATACCTACTATAACTGAGCATCCAATGCCAAGTAGTTTGCGTGATGGCTGGACAGTCTACATGCCTTCCGAGTACTTCGCTGGATGGCAGTAAGATGAAAGAGTTTGGTGAAGATCTCCTCTAACAGCAGTACCGACTGATGGCTTGTGATTTTGAATAATTTTAAAGTGAACTTAAAGTTTTGAGGTGCTCCCCAAGTCGGCACCATGACTTTTGATGGCTGAAGGTACTACCATAATAGAGCAATAGCTTAGAGAGTTGAGTGAAATTGAAGATGAATTCTAACGGCAACATCAACTAGACCAGCAGGAATCCCACCAAGGTCTGGATATCTTCCTACCTCAGACCAGGAACCTGTTTCACAAAGCCTTTTTTTTTCATTGACAAATGACAAAAATCAGTGACAAATCTGCTGATAACCAATCAGAAGCAAGGATTTCAGTAGCTTATAACAAAAAACTGCATTTGTCACTGATGACAAGTTTTGTGAAACACCCCCCTGTTGATAACATAAAGGAGCCTGGAAGAGATCATGAAGCCACAGCAGCAGCAAATTATCTGACACATGGAGCTGCAGTTGCACGATAGTGGGAGTCTATCTGTAATTCCCTTTATCGCAGATGTATAACAGTCAGATCTGACCGATTGATTACGTTTTGAGACAGGTTTTCCTAATGTAACCGCTCAGAAGATGAGACTCTGTTTCAAACCAGGGTCTGTCAGAGTTGTTAAAGAGGCAAGGATATGGAGCTGACCAAAAGATCAACCCACAACACTCTCTACCTGCCTCATAAATACAGCGCAGTAGCTGGCAGCAGGATAGAGCAGTTGGTGAAGGCCTGAAACAGCGTTTGGTGATGTTCCTATATTGGCCGACGACACAAACAAGTCTAAAATAAAAGTGATAGCTGGCCATAAGTTGGAGCTTGGTGAAGATCAGCTATTGCCATGACCTCGGCAAATGCCTTGATGCTTTATGATGTTTGCTTAAGAAAACATGTCTCCATTAATTCTAGACACTAAACTGCCTTCCTCTTTCCCTCCCTCCCACCCTTTCTCCCTTCCCTCCCTCTCTTTTGTAATTGTATTATTTTTACGAGTTTTTGCTAAAAAAAAACTTACTGAAATTATAGAGCATACTGTTTTCCTCTGTCTCTCACTCTCTCTCTCTCTCTCTCTCTCTCTCGCTCACTCTCTTTCTCTCTCACTTTTATGTGAAGTAAATGCAAATTATTTGTTGTTTTTAGAAAACATACAGATGAATGCATGCAGTGTCTTGAATATGAGATGATGCCTAGATCATCATATTTTCATTGTTATAATTAACTCTGTAATGACCATTGAGAATAAAAGAAACATGAATAAAATTCAAGTCTCTGTTGTGTTTTCTGTTGTCTTGATATGCAATGACACTTTCTTCAGACAGTGTTTAACATAATGTGAACAAAAGAGTTGATCAATCTGTAAATAAATTATGTTGTCGTTATTTGAGTTGTGTTTGGGGTGTATGAATGTGTGTGTCTGTCTGTAGAACAGCATTTATAATGGAAATCCAACTGTTGTCGCTCCAAATCTTCCTCATTTTGTGCAAAAGGCAGCTAGCGCGGAGCATGGTTTTAAGGCATTTGTGTCAGTAGTGGCAGTGGGTGTGCATTAAATTTGAGATGCAATCTGGCTTTGATTCTCCAAGACAATTCTTGGATCTGTGTCACAAGAATGTCCTATGCAATGTCCTTTATTGTAAATGTTGAGTGCGTCCCAGAATAAACGAAAATTGAGATTTATCGATGTTTTATCACAGCTTAATCACAACTGTAATTAATAAATGCACATATTTGTAAAGCTTAGATTAAATTTGAAGAGAGGGTACCAAAAAGTCATTTGGCGGGCGGTATCTGAATTTCAAAGAGAAAATCATATTTCTAGAAATTTCATTTTCTGTTTGTTTAAAGTAAACTCCATGCAAAAAGAAGACGAAAGACATTCATTGCTTCTCGCATAGCCCAATACTTTTCTAATTTACATTCAAACACAATATAACTGATCTTCAAAACCGTATGTAATAGCCTTATCTATAATTTGCAATCGGTAAAAGAAACTCAAGTTAGAAGTAAGACTAGTGTTTGAGGCACTTTATGTGTTCATGTAAATATATCATTTATTTATATTTTTACAAAATGAAATATACATAAATTTACATCCATATGCCAGAGAGTATGCAATCTGCATTCGATGAGTTTGAAAATACATGACATCAAGTTTAAACATCTCTACATATGCTCTTTTAACTTTTTCTTTACTGTATTCATATTTAAACTATCACAGGGCTCTTGTAAAACCTAAATTTGGTTACCTACCAGCCGCAAAACCTATATAACTTATCAGTTTTTAATTTTGATAGTCATTTGCAGTAGACTAATTGTCCTAGGCCCTGTTGCACAAAACTTACCATTGATGGTAACTGGTGACACGACATTTGCTCCTGCGACAATTGCTCCGGGCTTTATTTCGTCTAAGATGTAGGGTTAGGGTTAGGGTTTCAATAGGGTTTTATGTTAGGTTTAGGGTTAGGTTTAGGGTAGGGTATAGTGTTGAATCCAGGGTTGAAGTAAGCCATTCGATTAGTGTATGAAATTTACAGCGGAGCAATTGTCGCCGGAGCAAATGTCATGGAATCTGATGGTAACTACCATGGAAACCTTGATTTTGATTGGCTGTTGAGCCCTGTTACCATGGTAGTTGCCATTGATGGCAAAGTTACCATCAATGGTAAATTTTATGCAACAGGCCTACTGATCGCCATGTTGACTAAATACAGTTGTACATGTATTATTTGTTAGATAATTCATATAATGAATAATCCATTTCACCTTTAATGAGATATATCATAGACATCTATATCATCTGTTCAGAGCCAGAAAGCCATTACCTGTGTTACAGGAAATCCCAACTTATGTAATAATAGAAAAGTACTCTAAAAGAAAGCAGAGAAATCAAGAGAAGCAGACTCCTTTGGAATATAGTATCACGACATGGAAAACAAAATATTTTTTAGTGATTGGTACACTCAAACTAGATGTATATATAACTACTATATTGCTAGTCTTTTCTAAATACAGTACAATACATTTTTAAAGACAACATGGTCATTTTCACAACACTTGATTGACACCTGATGAACTTTAACCTTTTCTTCAGTCAAAAAGCCATTTATATCAAACTTTATAAAGATGATACATTGAAATTAATGTCTAAATAATAATGTAAAATGTAACTTTTTTATTTGTACAGTCATAGTATTTGTAAGTTAATGCCCCAAAATAAGCTACGAGGTTGGATACAGTTCTGTGAAATTAGAAGCGAAAAAATATGGAACCAATTCCCATTTAATTTTTCCTCCTGATTATTCTAATTTCCCTGGCATGCATTATGAAAGGCAAAATCAAACGTATTTAGACGTAAAAATAGAAATACTCTACAAATACTATTTTGGAATATTGGAAGTTCAATCTTATGAACTGTACCAGTCAATCCTCCTGCACTTTTCTAAACCAAAATGGAATTCTCTTACGAGGCCTGCTCTTTACAAGTGAGGACATTCTTTTTCCATAACATCATCTTACATCTTACGATGTGCTGATTTCAAACATTTAAAACCTAGGGTTTTGTTGGACAACATAATACAGACTACAACATAAAAAGAATAGGATAGAAACTAGAGCCTATATGTCAATGGCAGCCTTTAGCTCAGGAAGCAAACCTTCAACCTCCGACTCCAAATCCATTAACAACCCTGCAATACAAAAAGAGAAGATAAAGTGCATTAAGCTAGGTAAAGAACATGCAATTGGAAGTTTCATATAAATGAGAAAATCACCAGAACCTTCTATAATATGATTAAAATTAAACTAATGATATTCCAAAAACTGCCACTAAAAAATGCTGCAGATTTGACACATTGGTGCATTACAACTGGAAAATGCAAATAATTTATTACAATTTCTGTGAGTTTTTTTCAAAATGCACATATCTTAACACTTTCATTTTTTTAGTTGAAACAAGTAACAGTACCTTTCAAGTCAGGCCTTCCACCCTTCCCCCCCAAAAAACATAACAAAAACAGAAAATCATTTTTTTTTTTAAACAGCACTAGCTGTGCTAGTTAGGTAGAGCACCATACCATACACGCATGATATACTGTGAAAGGTATTTGATATTTTAAGATACATTATTTCAATTAATATATTAAATTCTTACCTGTATTAGCTTTTCTTGAGGCTATCAAACTGACAAAGAGGGGCTGCTTGTTGAAATGCACAACCTAAAGTTAAAAAGAATGAGATGTTATCTTTGCAAGTTATGTTTCTATATCATTAATTGATTGAATGGAGGTACTATGTTAGTAAGAATGACACACTTTATTCATAAATCATGACGGAAAAGGGGCAATGAGAGATTGCGTGTGTTCAGCCATGGTTTGGGTGAGGAAATTATGATGATGAATAATTCTCCTGAAAGTGGTGGAGGGTGTGCACATTACATTGGCCCTTTTCGTCATAAAAATATAAATCTACCGGAGTACCGGTACATGGTGGATTAAAAACATAAATCACAGTCATGCTGATGATGAGGAGGTGATAAGGAGATGATGATGATGATGATGATTAAATAATAACAACTGGAAAAAGCCCTTAAAGGTGAAATTCTAAGAAAATCACAAATATGTCAACTAATGTATCACTAGAAACTGGTAAGCTAACAGATGGCCATCGTACAAGTTTGAGGTCAGCTACATATCGGGTGACTTATAAAAATAAAAATACAACCACCTCCATAGCAGCTGGGATATACGAGAGATTCGCCAGAAAATAACGATGTTTTAATGATGTCACAACAGGGACCAATACTGCCCAAGCAGACGACATCCCATAAAGAATGAACATAATTGCAAAGCTATTATTTGTCAAATTATAATGAGTTTAGTGTATATAAATGTACTGGCACGTCAAACCGATCAAAAGGGGACATGACCCGATTCTGATAAGGATAGGGGTTAATTAGCAATCAAAGAAACCAGCCTTTCAAATTGAAAAGCCCCCGGATTGATATTAAGGACGGCATTTGTTCCCTCTTAAAACGCCGAACATACCGCGGTGTCTGCAGCTGAATATACAATGGCGTCTTATTTTGTTTACAAGCGACAGATTCCTTTATTTTTGTATCGCTGCATTTGTCATCAAAATAAAACCATGCGCGGGGTTTAGAGTGAGGCAATAGATTATACATTTAGCCTGGCGGTAGTGAAGTAAGAGAAAGAACTCAAGAGAAGACGAAAATACAGGCACTGAAAATGTGTGAGATGTCATGGTACATCGTCTGCTTGTGCAAATCATGTCCCTGCTGTGATCTCACACATCTCAGCAGCGTTCGGAGAGCTATTCAGGTGCTATGCCGGGGCTGTATTTAAGCGTTTTGTAATTTATAATAAGCATTACTTCGAATGTTTCCAAGCATTGAATTTTGATAACCTTGTCGAATCAAAGTTTCAACTTTGCAATAATGAAAATAAAGCTAGATTTAAAATCAATGAATATCTACTTTAAACAGAAATCAATATTTCTTCACGGCAATCCGCAAGGCAGTTTGTTGATGGTATTGTAAAAACTACCAACACTGTATTGTATCAATATTTCATATTACGTTTCCTGGAAATTGAAATAAAAAATACATAATTGGGAGTGGAAAGGTTGCATTAGTGGTGAGGTGGTAGGGGATGAAGAGGAGGAGGAGGAGAAGAAGGGGGAGGAGGAGGGGGAGGAGGAGGAGGAGGAGGGAGAAGAAGAAGAAGAGGTAAGGGGAAGTAAGATAAGGAGCCATCTTTATCTACGGCCAGCACATTGGTCAAATTCTCACCTGATGTGATGTGTAGGTACAGATAATACTCTTGTTGGCCGAGAGCCCCAGTTTACTGGCTTGGTCGGCAGCCATGGCAAATGTAGCAAGGAAGGCGGGCCTCATGGCATGCTCTGGGGTTTCATCAGATTTCACTGGAGAAAAAAAAGAAGAAAATAGAAGGAGAAACAAGAAAAAGGAAGGAAAAAAAGGAGAAGAAAAAAAAGGGGAAAAAAAAGAAAAAGGAAAAAAAAAGGAGAAAAAGAAGGAGAAAAAAGGAGAAAAAAGAAGGAAAAAAAAAGAAAAAGGAAAAAAAAAGGAGAAAAAGAAGAAGGAGAAACAAGAAGAAGGAGAAAAAAGGAGGAGGAGAAAAAGAAGGAAAAAAGTTAACAAAAGTCTTGAACATGTAGGCCTACTTGTCCTTTTAATGATCTGATTTTGGTATAACGTATATTTTCTATAGACTCTCGCCAGAGTAATCTCAGGGCATGATGTTTAAAGGGTAAAGGTGATATAATGGGGTGTAGGATTTAGACTATTTATTCATGATTGTGTTCCATGGGATGTGACTCCATTCAAGTGATGTCTCCATAGCTCAACTAAATTTGCCAACTTGACACTTAAAACTGTATAAAATTTGATGTGATCACTATATTTCAAGTGCAAATCAATAAAACAAAATTTGACAGTACTATTTAGCACAATCTTTAACTAATTAAACGCCTACATTGAGATTATGTCAGGCTCTTTGCTCCTTCATAATAATCACCCGATTAGTATTGTATTTAATTTTGATATCTGAATATGTACGATTCTTTACCAAGTCGAAGTGTCTGCAATACAGACATTTTCTGCTGAACTTTTCATGTTTCATATTTTTTTTGAATAGAGGATATTAACATATAAATTATCTTACCTTTGATAACTGGGACACCATCTCTGTCTGTAATTACAATAGCCTCGAGCCCTTCCACCCTGAATGGCATTCATAGAGAAAAGCAAAGTTTGACATTTTATAAATTTGGTTCTGATGAAATCAAATATTGTAATCAATTTGTTAGCAAATCACATGTTCCAGACAGGTAGATAATTCTTTTTATAATAATATCTACTGAATGTTTTACTCCCTTGCAAATAAACTTATCACAATCGGCAATGGCTCTGAGATGGCTGATACATAATATTGTATCATAGCACTCCAGTTAAATGAATGAAGGTTTCTCTCACAAATCCCCTAGGTACTTGCCTCGAGCCTTCCCATTCTACCTTTTTAGTGTCATACCCTAAAAATCAACAGCCAAAAAATGCTATTTTTAAAAGGTTTAATTGACAATCGACCACAGGGGATCACACAAAAAAGTAATAACTGAATTATAGAATATCAGTAATATTGAATTAAATATCTGTAATTCTGAAGAAAAAAAATTCTGCCCTGATGGGACACTTATGTACAACCCTGGCCAAACCCTTAGTAATAGGTGGCTACCAAACAATACTGAAGCCTGAAGGCATAATATAAGTCAGGCAGACAGTTAAGAAATGCTGTATCTACTTGAAAATGAATTATAATTCAGTAAAAACATTAGCAACAATGAATAAAGAATAATAATATACATGTAGAGTATACTCACATTTGCAAAAGACTCCAAAGGTATCTTTTCAGTTGCTGAAGGTTAAAAGAAAGAAAATGTGGGTATGTTAACAAAATCATCTTGCATTTTTGATTCACATCTCAGGACAGATGTCAATTCTTTGGTCCCGAGCCCGAGCTGCAGCAAGACATCTTGAGGGATGAAGAGTGCGGAAGAAGTTCGCTAGGAAACTAAATAACTAATAACTCTCCCTGACCAGGGAAAAGTGGCTGCCTTACTACAAACTGATGGCTTCACCAATGAATGGATTCTCATGGCACAACACAGGCCACTTCATCTGAAATTCTAGCTGAAATTCTATCATGTTTAATATTCACCATGTAATGATATGCTTTCATGTATATATGTATGTCTTTATATGTATATTTATGTTATGCAGGGCCCCCAAGTATAACAGTATTTTAACTACTGATGGGGCTACCCTGTTGTAATAAAACGAAATAAATAAATAAATAAATTGGTGCTCCCCATCAACTCGGGGGTAAGAAGATGGAAGAATGATATTGATATTGAACTGCCGCCCCAACATGGTATCCATCAGACGATGCCAAAACATCATTTAATAACGCCCAGGGAAGAGCATTTAAAATGGGGATGCCTTCCAAGACCAACATGTACCTGGTGACCCCCTGATCCTTTCTCAGCACGAGTGGTGAGACTGACCCCCTAGAGATCCAGGCCAGTGATGCCCCATGTTTGCCATCCTGTTCAACTTAACAATTGAGCTAATCCTAAGAGCGGCCTATTTAGGCATTAGTTTTTTTTAATCACCTTTTTAAGCAACAATATTATACTGTATTACTGTTTTCCTAGCTGTCTCCACATTCATATGACATTTTTGTTGTTATTGTATTCTAATGTAAATGTTTCTCTTTAACTTGTATGCTATGTTTGTATTTTATATGTTGTTATGACGTTTTTATGATGAATGAAATAAAGATCAATTCAAGGGAACTGATGAAGACCTCGGGATTATGGTACACGGACAACGCCTATCCATCTGGCAGCAATGAGCAACTGCTAGACTACTTCAAAGACGTCTATGCTCCTCCTGAAATTGATGAGAATAGAGTACAACAGTTAGCCAAGTCTGCACCCGCCCTAATCTCTCCTATATCTCAGCAAGAGATCAGTATACGCCTTTCTCGCATGAGCAATTCCGCCCCTGGAAAGGACCGCCTCGAGTATAAGCATATTCGACAAGTTGATGGTGCGTGCCGTGTTACCCACAGTATGGTCAACAGGTGCTTACAGGAACACTGTATGCCATCAGCCTGGAAGGTAGCTACAACCATCCTCATTCACAAGTCCAGTACAACCGATGACCCAGCAAACTTCCGCCCGATCGCACTACAGTCATGCCTATACAAACTTTTCATGGGTATCCTTTCAGACAGGCTGACACAGTGGGCGTGCAATCACAACCTTCTGCTGTCGTCGGTTATCAAAGATACCAAGCGAAACCAGAAGACTGCCAACATCGCCTGGCTAGATCTTAGGAACGCCTTCGGAAGCATCCCCCACCAGGCTTTCCATGCAGTACTGACAAATACACGGGAGCATCCACATCCTTTCTCAGCACGAGTGGCAAGACTGACCCCCTACAGATCCAGTCCGGTGTTAAACAAGGATGCCCCATGTCTGCCATCATGTTCAACTAAACAATTGAACTTATCATAAGAGCAGTCAAGAAGAAGGCAACGGATGATGGCCTCTGGCTTATGGTGCAAGGTCAACGCATATCCATCATGACCTACGCTGATGATCTAATTGTTCTGCTGAGTAAGACACCAGAAGGTCTGGATGCCCTTTGTCTGTGGCATCCGAGCAGGCGTACCCTTTGGGCTCTACCGATCTGATGGTGACATTGTCTCCCTGGCTACTAGACTCATCCAAGACTTGGAAACCATTGCTGACTCCCTCAAAGATGCCCACTGTCGGCAATCCTTTTCAACCTGGTCATAGAGCTGATACTACGATCAGTGCAAAACATCAACCACCAAACCAAAGTCCATGGCAAAGACGTGTCAATCTTAGCGTATGCTGACGACTTAGTTCTCACCAGTGAATGAAGAACAACACTACCGGTATCTCGGCGTACCCTTGGGGCTCTACCGATCCGAAATTAGGTGATTTTGTTGGTCGGAAATTAAAAGCTGACATTAAGTGGGCGGAAGACAAAATTGTAGTTAATGGTATTTGGTTTAGAACTGATCATTGTATACATTCATTTTGGAAGCCATTGCTGACTCCCTCTTGGCCCCTTGGCAGAAGCTGGACGCTATACACGTCTTCATCCAGCCCTGTCTTACCTTTATCTTACGTGCTGGAGAGATCCAGAAACAATACCTGACACGCCTAACACAAACACTCATCAGAACGAATAAAAAGATCTGCAGTATCCCAACGAGAGCTACCAACAATGTCATCTTTGCGGATAAGACTGCTGGGGGCTGAGGCATCCAACACCCAAAGAAGGAGGCTGACATACAGACTATCATCCAGGCCATCCGTATGCTATCTTCCTCCAATACATGCATCTTCCACCGGTGATGCCAGCCCTCAACGAGAAAGAGCAGTACCCCTACCTTTCGAGTTCCCATTGGCTTGCCTCGTTTCACGAATCTAAAGGATCTGATTGGGAAGCTGAAGGGAGACATTGAGACCATCACATCATCATTGCTGGCCCCATGGCAAAAGAGTGACGCAATTGAGATGTTCGTCCAACTAGTCTCAGTTTCATATTACGAGCAGCAGATTAATTGAAGTCAGACTTGCGGTCCCTGAAGTCTGCCACCACCACCAACGTTAAGAAGATATGCCAGCTCCCCCTTTGGGCGGCCAACGCGTACATCTTCGCGGCTAGGGAATCAGGTGTTCTAGCCTTCATAGACCCCAAAGTAGATGCGGACATCCAAGTTATCACCCAAGCCATATGTGTCCTGTCGTCTGACGATGAAGTTGTTCAGACGATAGCAAGATCCCAACTAAAGTCGGTAGTACATCGGACAATCCATGCATCCCCGACTAAAGAGGACCTCTACAACGAATTGTCTGGCAGCAGCGAGGGTCTCCTTGCCAATTCTGGTGATAGCGGCCAAGCTTCTTTTCTGTAGTCTCGAACCAGGTCGGCCGCAAGAAGACTACATCTTACTCTCAGAGCCACCACCAGTGGTACAGTTGTTTTCAACTCATCAGGCAAACAACAACCACATAAGGGACATCCTATCAACAGCAATAACAAGAGGACTGAGGCTCATCCAACAAACTACGAATGCTGGGAAACTCAAGTCCCTACCAGACCCAGGGAAAGTTGCCAGATCTCTGAGCAACGATCCGTTCGCCCAACGGCTCTTCTTAGCATGCAAGTGGAAAATTCATCCGGTTCTGTGACTGGAGGTTTATCCACCAAGCTCGACTAAATTGCCTACCTACAAATGTAGCAACAAAGAGGTGGAAGGCAAATGCCAACGGCAAGTGCAGGCGATGTCCTCCACAAGAGACACTGCCTCACGTGTTGAACCACTGCCTACCCAATAGGCCTATGTACCGGGAGACCCCAACCCAAGAGAACATATTTATTTTTAGACACACTGGCCCCCAAATATGGAATTTTTTTCCCAGAGATATCCCTGATACGACATTCTTTAACTCTTTTAAATCTAAAATTAAAAAATACTTAATCGGTTTTTAAATCAATAATAATATTTGCAAGTTAATACTATGTTTTGTACACTGTTTTGTTATTGTTATATCTTTTATAGGCAATTGTTGGAACTTGTATGTATGTTTTAATAATAGGGCCTGCAGTCTCCCCACTTCATTTTTATTGCTGATTAACTTTGTATAATTCCGGTATATTTGTAGATATATGCTTCCATTTTGTGTATGTTCTCTGTTTTCTGTATGTGTATAATCTTTATCTTATATGTTTTTTATGGACTTGAATTGAAATAAAACTTGAAACAGAGTGTGCCTCCCTCTCACTCTCATGCTGGAACGGAACATTTGTCCTCCCAGGCACATACACTGTCCAAGGCCAGGTGATGCCAGCCCTCAACGAGAAAGAGCAGTACCCCTACCTCGGAGTTCCCATTGGCTTGCCTCGTTTCACGAATCTCAGGGATCTGATTGGGAAGCTGAAGGGAGACATTGAGACCATCACATCATCAATGCTGGCCCCTTGGCAAAAGATTGACGCAATCAAGACGTTCGTCCAACTGGTCTCAGTTTTTTATTACGGGCAGCAGACTACTTGAAGTCAGACTTGCGGTCCCTGACAGAGAGCTGACCCCCATTCTTTACCTTCTTTTCCTATTTCTCTTCTTTCTTACATCCAACATCCATATCATTTCATTGTTTTTGTCTGTATACTTTGCTTTTTAATTATTATACTTCTACCTTATTATGAATGACACTGTGTCAACATTATTTTCAGAAACTTTAATTTTACAAGCTATATGTGTTTTATCAAGTTCCTTTTTTCACATGTAATTTCGAAATTATTTAGTGTAAATGCCATACAAACTTATGCTGTGTAGATGTCTTTATTGTTCACGAATATCATATTTAAGGTACAAAATTGCAAGTTGTACTGAAATGTTTGTTGATTTTTCTATTTTATGTATGTACCTATGCTGAGCTGAGTGTGCATCAGTTATGTGTCAAGTGCGTCACCTGTTTAAAGCATGACATGTTAGTGTGTTATGTATAATGTAATAGTACGTATTGCCATTGCATGTAAGTTACGCTTAAGTTAAGTAGAACCTCTCTATAAATTCAAAGCCGCTCGAGCAGCTCAGCAAATGGTAGAGCGTAAACTGTGTGCACAGCGCTCAATGCGGAAAGTTCTATGTGTCACATCTCATAAGCTAAAGACCAGACAAGACTTTTTAATTGCACCTAAATAGTATGCATGCTGCACGTGTACCCAAACTCAGCTACCCACACACACTAAGTCAAGTATCTGCAAGAATCTTCAAACCTGACGGAGGCAGATGTAACCCGAAGAAGAAGAAGAATGTCACTCAACTCAGTTCTGATTTTGTCTTTTTTAAATAAAAAAGTAGGCCGTTGGCCGTTGGCATTGAATATTTTGTCTAAAATTCAACTTTCATACACCTTTATTCACCAAATGCACATCAAACCTCGACAAATTTACTTGTTGAATGAATATTAAATACTACTTTACATTTCACTTTGCCTTTTGAGGCTTTGTCTTTCAGCCACTTTTTTTTTTAATGCCCCCAACTTGAAAGTGGCAAATATTACAGTCCCATCTACTCTACTATTTGTAGGGGAAAATAATTACTCACCTCAACCATCTTGTTCGTTGTCTTTCACTAAGTTCTCGAAAGAAAATTTCAAACTAATATAGACTCAATGATGAATGGTCACTTAGTTATCACTACCAGCACATTCTAAAACTTGAAATAAGGCAACAATTTTAGTTTCTGGCTGATTGAATTTGCAATTGTATAGCAGCGACTTTTCAGCTGGGCAACGCAATGTTGGTCTCGTGATGGCTGCAGTATTAGTCTGCAATCAGAATGCTCGATTTGCATTTGATAAAGGTAAATTCCCTGGTAAATTCCTCAGAATCGCAGCTTTAAAAAATTATTCTTTTATTAATTTATCTTTTATTTTCAAATATTAAAATGTATGAAAGTATGTAATATAATTAAAAATAATGGAGACGTTTTATTTAATATCTCTCTGCACTATGAAATATTGTTGAATAAGTCTGGAAACGTTTCTTGGTTGATATTTTACAACAACACATTTTTTGGAATACCCACATTTTTAATATCGTTCAATTCTGTCTGCTTCATGCACTGTTCTTAAAACTTCTATGTCTGTATTTTCGTATTTCACTTTCTCAACAATCTTAACCTTTTTGCGAATCCACAGGATTGGAGGAATTCAACGAATGAAGAAGAAGAAGAAGAAGAACTGAGAGGAAGAACGGAAGAAGAAGAAGAAGAAGTAGAAGAAGAAGAAGAAGAAGAAGAAGAAGAAGAAGAAGAAGAAGAAGAAGAAGAAGAAGAAGAAGAAGAAGAAGAAGAAGAAGAAGAAGAAGAAGAAGAAGAAGAAGAAGAAGAAGAAGAAGAAGAAGAAGAAGAAGAAGAAGAAGAAGAAGAAGAAGAAGAAGAAGAAGAAGAAGAAGAAGAAGAAGAAGAAGAAGAAGAAGAAGAAGAAGAAGAAGAAGAAGAAGAAGAAGAAGAAGAAGATACCACAGCTAGCTATAATATAGGTACAGGATTGATCTCTGAAAAAGATCACGGTGCCTTTCAAACGAAGTGTTTCAAGAAGGGAACATATTTTTTTTTTTTTTGTTGCTTGTTTATATTTGATGATGATGACCTTAAAAACATTTTAGCGGGTGTTGCCAGCAAATAAGCAACATATGCAGTGGCAGGTCAAGAATGAAACCAAAAGCTTTTTCAGTTTCTGATATGGACGGTTGTTCCGCTGATACTACGTCTGGCTGATCGCCTGACAGAAGAATTCCCAATACCAGACGACTATTTCTTTCTAGTACTTATAGCTAGCTCACAACTAAAAGTCAGTTCGTTTGGAGATCATGCCCCAGTAAGACTAGACTATACTACAGTCTGAAAGATAAATCCTAAAATTGAACATGGCTAAAAGGTTAACAACAAAAACAATTATAACAATTATAATAATAATTATAATAGTAATAATAATTATTATTATAATTATAAAAATCATCGTCATTGTCATCATAACAATTTACACCCTTTGCTGCTGGCCGCCCATTTTGGGTCAAAACTATCTTGTAAAAATAAGTTATTTATTCCAGATTTACAGATAGCTGGCACGTCGGTGGGAGGAGAGAGAGAGAGAGAGAGAGAGATGGGTAAATGATAAAGAGGGGGGGGGGGGTGATCGAGAGCGAAGAGGTGATGAGGGAAGGAGAGAGACAGACAGAGACAGAGAGAGAGGAGAGAGAGAGAGAGAGAGAGAGAGAGAGAGAGAGAGAGAGAGACTATATACGCAACAAAATTTAATGTAGTGAAGGTGATTACGTAAACATTGATGACCGCAAAACCAAATCGCCGTGTCACAGTGGCAAGGCAAGGCAGAGAATTTATTGCTCCCTCGGGGATTGATTGTTTTACTGGATCACAAGCTTTTGATGGATTAATCGCTTGTCGGCTCTGTCAGATCATCGCAATTACGCTGTGGTGTTGAATGATATCTTGTCAATCAGTAGGGCTATCATTGTGCCACAGAGTGAACTGAATGCCGGACTGAATGATAATTTTTTTTTTCTCGTTCCATTTCTTCTTTTTTCACCTAGATCAGGAAACTTGTTCTGATCAAAGAGATATGTTCTGATGAAGTGCTTGTCTTTTCTGGCACTTTTAACATTATATAAGAAATAGGAGCAAAACTGTGACTGTTTTATCACAACTTATAACTCTAAATGGGACTCAGTTCAAGAGCAAAATATTTGATAGAAAATTGTGTACACTGAGCAGTAACAGCACTGCTTTGATCACCCTTTAGAGTGCGAGCACGTTTGTCGTTGACGTGTCCGGATCGCGTTATTTTTTTATGCGGCACAGATTGGGGCTTTTTTTAAAAAGGGGTCTTGATTTACAGACTAATACTGGTCGTGTGCGTACTAGACAGTATAAGTAGTAGAGGTCTGTTTTTAATAGTGTTACATGTAATCCACTACCGCATGGAAAATCATTACATCAACAATTAAAATCAAATTGGAAATCTGAAGAGGAGGCAGCACGTCAATAAAGAGAAAATAATAATTAGTCAATAAAACTTAACTAACTTAAACGAAAAAGAATGTTATCTAAACACGTAGTTCGCGATGGATATACAAACTTCTTCGCAGCGCTAATAGGGCGCTAATGCGCTAGCGAACATGAATAGTCTCACGTACGTGCAGACACTATTCAGAAGGGAAAGAACGTACTTCCCATAGGTTTAACACGCGCCATGCCCCAATCTGTGCCGCATAAAAAAATAACGCGTCCGGATCGTGCGATGCATAATGCATCGTTCCAAATCACCATATGAATTGTATGAATAATAATGAGCGGTTTGCTAGTCGTCGTCAGAGGCCGCGCACGGTGGGCAGAACAAAAATGCGTGCGCATGACGTATAAAATGGCTGATGTTAGTGACAATGTAAATATGGTTTTGACATGTAAATGATATTTTGTAAGTAATGCTTCACGGACAATACATATTTTATCATTTCATCTTAATAATCGTGTAACAAAGTCTCATGAATATAGCAACGATTTATCACAGCGACTGTTTTGGACGACTAAATCGCCATATCTCGCGTACATGTTCCAATACACCACGTTGTATCCAAAAGACGTTCAGGTTTACAAGTTTGTTACAAATATCGAATATAATGGAAGATTATTTGATTTTTATTTACGTTAAAGTGATTGTGACAAACATCTGGTTTCCTATAGGTATGGTCATTTTTTTGAAAATTCACGGCATTTTTGCTCAACGTGCGTGTCAGCAGGGTTAATACACCTTTTTCTCAACTAGTACTAAACACTTACATTGAATTAATGGGATTCGATGAAAATTCTTCTAGTTATCGCTTCTCGGCCTTTTGGCTAAGATCATGTGTAGTATCTGTTCTTTTCAGCTTAATATCTGAAACGCGACTCACCGAGTCGCTTGTATATTAAACTGATTTTTGAATCTAGACCATGGAATAGGGGCTTGCTCCATCCTGGTCACGGGTTGGCCCGGTATTGCAGTACCTCCGGGATCGGCCCACCCCTCAGGGGGTAATAATAAACCAAAGAAAGAATCACCCATCACCCACCAATATCTCCGCTGTAGCTCCAAGATAGACCGACCGGGTACGGTAGGACCTGGGTATTTGAAGCTAGCCAAAACAAGTAGCTGTCTTGACATCAGGAAACAAATTCTGGATCCGCCACTGCCCATTGATTTCCCTATGCATTTGCCCAGGTTATATGTTTTGTATCATATTGCGTGCATGACATTTCACAAAATATGATATGAACTTTGAAGAGTTGATGCTATTTCCTGAATATTGTATATTCATAATCATTGATATTTATATAAATAGTTTATAACTATTTCATGAGTTAACTGGAAACAAATTACTCTATATTAGTGCATCCACACAAAAACATATTACTATCAATATCACTTGGATGCTGATGTGAGGAAATACATTTTTAGGGGGAAATTTATATTTATATAAAGAATACAATGGATAGTGAGGCAATGATACACAGACTCATGAGTGAGTTGCCAATTATTTGTCTTCTGATTTTCAAAGTTTTTCATGTCGTTAAAAATTCATAACTTTCTTATTAGTTATCCGATTTTGCTCAAACTTTTATTGGTTGGTTTGTCTGATCTTTTGCTTCTTTCAATTGAAAGTAAGTTTTATTTGGAGTGGACAACAACGATGAAGAGATATGAAATGTGGGAGAATAAAGGAGGAAGAAGAGGGGTAAGAAGAATTAGAGTGGTGAGAGAAAGGGAGTACACTCTTATTTCCACAGCGTCAAATTTCACTCTAAATGGCGTCAGCTGGGAGTCAACTCTATTCCTAGTTAAAGTGACACGGAAAAGGAGTCATCTTGACTCTGAATTGAGTCAATTCTCAGCTGAAAATTGATTCGGAATCCGTGTCACTTTAACTAGGAATAGAGTTGACTCCCAGCTGACGCCATTTAGAGTGAAATTTGATGCCGTGGAAATAAGAGTGTGCATATCACTGAAGTAGATTAAGGTATCTAATTGGATATCGCACTAATCATTATACTCTCTGGAAATGCATCAGGGCATGTCTTCCTTATCCATACAAGTAGTACGTGTCTGTTCAGTTTGACTATTAACAGTGCAAAAGAGGTCCTTTTCCGGAAGCCCGTCCTCCAAAGTGGAATGCCGCCCTCTAAAGGTGAGCGCGGTCTTTGGCGTCTGCTACATTGAACTTTTTTTTTTTTTTTTAATTCATGGAGGGCTTTACACACACAGAAATCTAGCGAAATGACATATGAGCGACTGCAAATGCCCTTTTTTGTTTAAAATAACAAAAGCATTGACCATGTTTTCTAGGAATGTAAATCCATTCAGAAAATGATTTGTTGGCTATCCAAGGTCACAAAGGAAATGCTAGGTAGGCATGTTTTATTTGACAAGGATATTCTTTTTTATGGACCCTCAACCACTATAAGTGCATTTGTATGGGCACGAGTTTGGTTTTATGTGGTTACACACAAAGCAGTGTGTTGTGGAATCGAAGATCTTTATTTATTTTTTAGTAAGATTATGTGTCTGAAGATACTTTGTTACTAAAAGTCAGAGACGAAATTTGTTTACATTGGTTGTAGACCTGAAAAGATGGTCTAGATAAAAGTTTGACAAAGTTTGGAATAATGGGAAAAAGTTTTTTTTCGGTTATAGGGGAAGATATTCAGCTCAACTTACCGGGTTAAACAAATCAATATGCAAAGTTCTTTTGATCTG